AATGGGACTGTGTGTGTCTTTTCCTGCTGAGCTGCTGATAGTGGGGAGAGTCCAAAGGCATCCAGAAGCGTGCACACACACGCGTATATACACACACACACAGATCATCAGAACCAAGTCAATGCCAAAGCATCTGATATCAAGCTCGGCACGAGTGGCATGAAACAAACACTGTGGCTTCTACTGTCCGTGTCTCTCACTCACACACACACACACACACACACACACACACACCCACACACACATTTTTTCCACACACACACATTTGTTCTCATTCTTTGTGGGGACTGTACATTAGTCACTTTTACACTGCCCGCTCAACGTGGGATTCTCACACCAATTTCCTGCCACAGCAATTTTAAAAGGTGCCAAACCAGCTCGGGGGTCAGTGTTGACCCTCCTTTTCCCCCCTATGAAAGCACTGACATATATACTGTGGACACAACGTCACCACTTCCAGCACTATGCAAAAACGGTGGCAAAATATTGTGAATACAGTGCCTGCCATTTTGCAACCAGATTCAGCACAGTAGAAGCCAGAAGTGAAGTATGTTGTACCCACAAGTCTAAGAAAGACCCTGAGGAGACATTTTTATGCTGAGGAACCCAGAAAACCATAATCAATAACCAAACTTAACTTCCAGACAGTGAGGAGCAGAAAGATATCTCCCTGGCCCCTTCCAAACACTCAGAACTTGGCCATGCTGCTTTGTTTCAGCTAAAGACTTTGTATGCCAACACGCCCTGCTATGGTCTCTCTGAGCTAGGAACTATGCCTCACTACTCCCAAGGCATAGACCAGATTCTGGTTTGTGTCTCAAAGACACTTTTATGTGTAATGCCCTGTGCACGCTAATGTGCTCTGTCCTTCCTACAACCAAAGCAACCAGAAAAACAACCACTTTTACACACACCAGTGTGATAATACAGAGGTGACCACTGGGAAAAATTCATCTGATTTGTAATTTGACTTTTTACGTTTGTCCCATCCACTGACATGGAGAGACGGGATTCATGTTTACTGCAGCCAGCCACCAGGGGGCGATCATGTAGCAGTGGCTTCACTTCTGGGAGCTGTCATGGGTTACAGTCGATGCATGAGAGGCAGTAAAACTGGTGCAACCGTACGGACTCTGTGTAAAAAGGAAGAGCCAGCTTGGAGGGACATGAAGTTCTGATGAAGTGCGTGATGTGCTGGAGGATTTGAATTTTAACGTTAGTGAAAGGAAAAGAATCAGTGACTACATTCATTAACATGTGTACACACACACACACACACACACACACACACAATCTGTGGTCTTACCTTGCTCATCCCGGCGACAGCGTTTGTACAGGGCGTACTTGGCCGGGTTGTCAGCGACTGTGAACTTTCTCAACAGGGCAATAATCACCTGAAGACACAGACACACACCAGAACAAAACAGTCAAACACTGTCAGTGGACACGTCCACAATGACTTATCCACTTCAGACAAAAGTGAGTGGAACCTTTAAGTTTTAACAGAACGTCCACATCAACCTACTTGTGTCTGACTTCACGATCTGATGACATATGGGTCAAAGTTGGAGTGTGTGTTAGTCACCTGTTTGACGGTGTTATGGGAACTGATGTGGAGGGTGTTGGTGACTCCTCGGGGCAGATAGAAGGCCTCCTCCCCCATGGCTCCTCTCTGACGCCCCCGCACCGTCACCGGCCTCGTCAGATCCATCTGGACTTTGATGAAACCGGTGTACACACCAGTAGGATTCTGAGAGAGAGTTAATGTCCCATATGATCACTCTGGATGAGACCAGTTCACCCAGTAAGCCGATTGTGTCCTGCTGGACAGATGGCCCCAGATGGAGGAAGAGTATATTAATCTCATTTGTCCATATGGAGCCTGAGGACTGGGATTGTGATGTTGTGTGTGAGTGAAGGTCAGAAGAACAAGATCAGTATGAACAGATGACGATGCATCAGCAGAGATAGTGACAAGGAGACAAAGGAGGAGATAAAAAGAAAGAAAGGAAGAAGGCTAAACAAAGAAAGGTGTGGACTGTTAAAACAGAACTACATCTGGAAGCTTCACGTACAGACCCGATCAGGTCTGACGATCTAAAGCTATGTTCACATCACAGGCCTTAACCCTCAGTTCCAAACTTCCTGTGCTATACTTCACATCCATGTGTGTCAGTGATATGTGTGAACACCGCTGAGCTCCTAAATTGGCACACGTGCACAGATTTGTACTAACTGCTGGGTTACGATATGTTCCTCCCAGTTTGGCCTGATCAGACGCTTCTTCATAAAACGTCCGATACATGTGAAACATCCTCTCTGCACCGACCCTGTGGCTGTTGTCGCCCTGCTCCATGTTTACCGTTACTGGTCTGTGAGGGGCCTGACACTGAATGATGACCACAGGCCAAACGTGCAGAGGAGACATTAAAACAGCCACACAGATTCTGATCTGACCGCTCCCACAGCACTCGTCGCTTCAGCTGGCAATGTGAACGTGGCTTGACAGGTGTTGGTCTGGAGGTTTCACACTTGTGTTTTAAGCTTAGCAAATGTGATTTGTTACTTTTCGTTGTCATGTGACAGTCTTCACATTTTATAGAACAATTATTTTTTCAATCAACATTTTAATCAATAATGAAAATAATCGTTGCAGTTTAATTCTATGTGTCTTGTTTTTTTATTTAACTAAATGCTGATTCCAAATAAATAGACCACAGCTTTTCCACTACACATGAGCTGCTTGGTGTGGAGCAAGTTGTTAACATCCCCAGGATTTACTGACTTACTCCCAGGAACTTATTTGAATCCTCTAACCTTCCCTTTATTGAATATACACAGCTGAAGGTCATAGTCCAACTCAAGCCTTTCCTTGCCTACTATTCCTTTTAAAAATCAGGAAAACCTTTTTGATACATTGTGCCATCAGTCGCAGTCTACCTACATTTTCTCAGCTGGTGCAACAAACCCCCCGCTTCACCTAAAACTCTTCATTTCTGCTGGGTTAAACAGAGTTGTTGTCTCGTGGTGCGACTTCAGACACCGTTCACGCTGCCAAGGAAAACGCTGTGTGGGTGAACAATAGCAGGAATAACATCACCTCACTCTGATGTGGCCGCTGAGGAATGCTGGGAGCTGGAGGAAGGCAGCCAGGATGTTGAAACTTTAGCACAATTCAGCAAGTACAATGTAAAGCCTGCAGGACTCAGCACATTTGGACACCACAGCTGTTTCATTTCTAGTGCTTAGTTAACTTTTACAACAACACAACCAAGACTTGACATTTAAAGTTCATTCTTGATTTTGGAAAAAGCAGTGGGGGGGGGGATGATTACAAGGTCCATTAGCAGCTTTTCTGGGGCTTTTATTTTTATCAAATGGTCTTCCTCAGCTGATGGAGCAGCTCTTCCTAATGGGCCTTGTGGTTAGGGATGAGTATAGGGAGATGAATCTGTTATTAATCATTTATGATCCACAGATTGTGGGCGTGTGCGTGCATTAGGGATGGGATGACATGATATGCAATATAATGTGTATTTCAATGACAATGTACAACTAGCTGCAGAATACTTGTACTTTATTCCTCTTTTCTTTTGCCCTTTTCTAGCACTGATCTGATTCTGTACAGAACAACGAGATACTCTGACTTATGTTCTGTTATGCCATATTATTTACTAAATATATGAAGAGCACATGGCTTATATCGCTAGAAAGATAGATACATATTGTGACGTTTAGTATCTCGATGTAGTGTCCCATCCCTAGCATGCATATGGGGAAAAATATATGGTGTCCTGCAAACACTGAAATCTAAAAGTACCATATTAGCCTGACCATAAGACATGTTTTCTGGAAATGACACTGTTGCTAGTCTGTTTACATTGAGTCATTTAGACCTACTGTGCAAGTGTTTACTAGGCCCAACAGCAGCTTCTTGCAACTTGGATAATGTGCCATGAAAATAAAAGTGTGACGAGTAAAAACAAGTCAAGACGTCTCATGTCTTTACTACAGAAACACACAGGGGATCAAATCATCTGCCCAAGAGCTGAGATGAGGAGCTCAAATAAACTAATATGTAAACTGAGATAATGATGGTGACGTTCCCAAGAGCCTGGTAGGGCAACAAGCCCCAAGTCAGGGCAGTGTGTGTGTGTGTGTGTGTTCGCTTACCATTGTCATTTTAAAGTGGTCTTTGGTCAGGGAGTTGTACTGCTCGATCCTCTGTCTGATTTCC